GTCAGGGCTAGGAGGGCCCTTAGGACAGGGAATGTCAGGGCTAGGAGAAACCATAGAACAGGGGATTTCAGAGCTGGGAGGGCCCTCAGGACAGGGGATATTAGGTCTAGGAAGATCCTTAGGACAAGGAATGTCAGAGTTGGAAGAATCTTTAGAACAAAGAACTCGGTACATGAACCTTTGATCCAGAAATGCTCTTTACTCTGCACTACACCTCAATGACCCTTGGTTCTTCCCACCCCCACCACAGCACCCCCAAGCTTGGCGGGAGTCAGCCCCTTTTCACGCAGGCCCTGGGGCGACAGCAGCTTCAGGCACCATTAGACACCCCACCACAGTCAGACCTCCATCTTCCCCTCCAGCCTAGAGCATCCTGGGAGCTGTAGTCCCCCTCACTCCCCACCACGTCCCCAGGGATCTGGGGAGGGCCCTCCAACCTAGGGGGGCAGGGAGTCAGAAGCTCTCCACACTTGGCTTCTGTGTCCTGGTGGTTAAAACAAGCTGGAATCCAAAATCTTCCCTCTGTGGGCCTCAGTTTCCTTTTCTGTTAAATGAAGGAGTTGGATCAGATGGTCCATCTCCAAGCCCTCTCCCAGCTCTGACATTCCATGTTCTAGGGGCTCTTCCAGCACTAACATTCCGTGTTCTAGTTTTCTGGGTTCTAAGTCTTTAGACTTAGGACAAGTTAGGTCTGTGATCCCTTAGCCCAACTGCTACTTGAGGCCCTCAGTCTTAACCCAGAAAGAAACTGCCTCCCCCCCCCCACTCCTGCTGCTTCATTCACAATGGCTCTCATACCCCAAGGGGCCTTCACTGGGGGGAGGGGGGAGCAGGGCAACTGGACCCCAGTAAGGCCCTTTGAAATCCCCTAAGCCACAGGGCCCCACTTCCCAGTGGAATGTCTTTCGTCCCCAGGCCACAATCTATATGCAGCCCTGGCACCCCAACTGCTGTCTCCCCCAAATGAGAAAGGAGACGAGGACCAGGGAAGGCAGGGCGGGCTGAGGGGGTGGGGGGCCTGGGGGGACCTGTAGGAACCCCATGGGTCGGGGAGAGCAAAAGAGCAAATGACTCCACCTTCCGCCCTTCCTTCCCTCCCTCCCCCCTCCCTCCCTCCCCAGCCCTCAGCAGCCACAGTCAGTCAGCGGCGTCCAGCCTGAGTGGTGGTGAGCAGAGTGAGCTGGTTTCTCTGCTGCATGGCAGCAGCCTGAGGCCCCCAGTTCCCTCCCTCAGAACCCAGAGGGACCCCATCTTCCCAAGCCTGGAGCTGGACCCCGAGCCCTGGGATCCCCTCTTCATTGCCCCACATTGGGACTCACTGCTCCAGACGGGACCGGAGGCCGACCGAGGTGAGTTCCCTCCCTGCCCCTGTGCCTCTCCCTGGACCCCCCTCCCACCCTGCTCCTTCTTCTGCTAGTGGACGGCAAGGGGAGTCTAGTGGAGGCTGAGCGGGGCTCTGCCATCCCTTCTGTTGCCTGTTCTCCTTCGCCCAGATGGGCACCAGCGTGAGAGGAGGGTACAGGAGGAAGCGGGGAGTTGTCTGGCCCTTTCCCTGCCTGCCACCTGCCTGGTGTCCCTGCTCTCGTCTCGGAATCTTGGAGGGGGATGAGGGGAGGCTGACGAGAGCCTCTGTCCCTGTCCTGCTTCCCCTCATCTCGGTCCCATCTGCCCAGATGGGGCACCGCTGAGAGGCAAGGGGGAAGAGGTGAGAAAATGGGAAATTCCCAAAGAGAGATTATATTCTTTAGGGAGTCCGTTTTTCTCTCTTTCTCTCCACAAACCACCACCTGAAAGCAGAAACAAACAAAAAAAAAAAATCCTCAAATCCACCCACACCAAGAAACGGTTGGGACGGGGTTGGGGGGAGGGGAAGGGGGAGGAGGTCTTTCCCTGTCTGGGAGGGACTTGCAGGGTTGGGCCGCTGGGGCTGGAGTTCACTTTCTGCCAAGGTGGGGACCTGGGGGGCTGGCCCGGGGCTCTGGCCCTGTCTCCCTCTCCCCTCTGCCACCCAGCTGGGCTGGGAGCCAGGGCTGGGGGAAGGGAGGACCTGTGGGTGCTCCCCAGGAGCAGGAGACCAGGAGGCACCCGTACTCCATCTCTCTCCTCCCTTTCCAGTCCAGAGGCAGAAGGTTTCCCTGGCAGAGGGGCCCAGAGGAGGAGGACGAGAAGGAAGAAAGAAGCACGATGAGCGAGGAGCAGGACCTTTCGGAGGTCGAGCTGAGCCCAGTGGGCTCCGAAGACCCCAGGTGCCTGTCCCCTGGAGGCCCCTCCATGGGGCCGGACGGCTCGGCCCTCCATGCCAGCCCTGGGCCCGGGGAGCTGGGCAAGGTGAAGAAGGAGCAGCAGGACCCCGAGGTGGACGACGACAAGTTTCCCGTATGCATCCGGGAGGCTGTGAGCCAGGTGCTCAGTGGCTATGACTGGACCCTGGTGCCCATGCCCGTCCGAGTCAACGGCAGCAGCAAAAGCAAACCCCACGTGAAGCGCCCCATGAACGCCTTCATGGTGTGGGCGCAGGCCGCCCGGAGGAAACTGGCCGACCAGTACCCGCACCTCCACAACGCAGAGCTCAGCAAGACCCTGGGGAAGCTGTGGAGGTAAGGGTCCGGGGGTGGGGGCAGAGCCCGGAGGAAGCAGCGGCGGGCCCTCTGGAGGGGATGCCAGCCGGGGAGAGGGGGCCCCCTCCCATTCTTGGCTCTGGAGCTGGGACGGAGCTTTGGAAATCATGATGTCGACAGTAAGGGAAACTGAGGCCCAGAGAAAGGAAAGGACTTGTCCAAGGTCACCCTGGTACTGGGTGGTGGCAGAGCCCAAATTTGAACCGATGCGCTTCCTGCTCGGCCGTGGGGTGGCTAGAAGATAAGGGGCCTCCTTTGCCTCCTTCTCACACTTACCCACCAAGTTCACCTTCCCCCAGAACATTTGAACCCAAGACTCTTTGGTAGCTTCTCCCCCCAAGGCTAGAGTCAGCAGAGTCACCAGCGCCCTCTGGTGGTTGGTATTCTGTTGGGGGAGGGAGGGAGGGGACAAGGAGCTTGGGTTGGGTTGGGCTGGGGACCATGGGTGGATTCACAAGATTACAGGATCCCAGAACCGCAAGCTTGGAAGGGCCCTTAGAAAGCAACCCTCTAGTCCAACCATCTCCTTTTACAGATGAGGAAACTGAGTCCTCATGCCATATGTTCCCCATTCATGAAACAGCCTTCTCTAATAGCTGAGTCCTCCATGCTTTCCAACCTGGAGAACAGAAGAGGGCTGGGGGCCAGGGCAGAGTTAGACAAGGAGCGTCATAAACTGCACAGAACCTCACGGGAGAACCGGGCCCGTATCCCAGCTCCGCCACTTACAAGCTGTGGGACGTTGGACAAGCAGCTTAACCTCAACCTTTGGGGGTCTCAGTTTCCTCATCTGTAAATTGAGGGGGAGGGCTGGGCTAGAGAATTCTAAGAACTCTTCTGGTTTTGACAGACTGTGATTTGATGACTGAATAAGGATGGGGATGGGATGTGTTGGGGTGTGTGTGTGTGTGTGTGTGTGTGTGCTCCCTTGTATATAGATACTAGAGAAGGGGGGAAGGAAGAATGGAAGGATGGTGAACTTTTCTCTCGTCTGAGTCCTCAGAGTTAGGGACAATCCCAGGCAACCAAGGAGTTGAAAAGATGAGAAAAGAGGGAAAGGAGAGAGAAATCTGTAAGGAAAAATGGGATGTCAGACCTATCCCGGCACGCCAATGCTCCCTTCATTTTGCTGCCCCCATCCCTGGGCATGCCCACCATGCTTGGCCTCATAAAGGTCAGTCCTCATGGCACCAGTTGGCACAGGCTTCCCCAGGCCTGTCTTCCTCATCTCCCATCACGTCCCATTCCTGTTTCTACTCTGTAGTGTTCCTAGGCTTCTCTTTGTCAAGCCCAAGAATAGCCCCAGAAGGAAGAGCCAGGCGCCCATCCCTATGGTAGCAATGGAGACTGTCTCCTAATCCAGTCGTACACTCTATCTACCATTCTCCCCCTGCCCCGGTGCCCGCCCCACCACCCAGCGGGCCCCCAGGACAGTCTCAGGTCATCTTCCCTCCTGGGGCCATCTTTCCTCTTGGGACCCTATCCAGGGATTACCAATTCCCTCCTCTCCCCAGCAGGCTCTACCTCTACCCAAAGGCTGGGCGAGGGACAGCAGTGCTCAGGATGGTTACATGACTCCTCATCCCACCACCCCCGTAGGCACCCTCCCCCCAAAAGGGAGGCTGTATCACCTCCTCCTCCCTGCTGCCCCATCCCCCAATCGGCATCTGAAAAAGGGCAAATCTTCAGATCAGGGGACCTGGGCGGGTCCCTGCTGGCCCTCTGCCCTGCCCCACAATTCCCCACCTCCGCTCCCTTCCTTCCAGCCCCAAAACCATGTGCCTGTGCTTTCAGAGTGTGGTAGCAGGTCGAGCAAGAAGACAGGAGTTGAAAATTGGAGTCCTAATTCCCAGGCCCATCATAGTGAGGACACAAGCGATTCACCTTCCTTCTCGGCCATAGTTTTCCCATTTGTGAAACCGAGGCGTTGACCTGGCTCTGGAGTTCCCTGTTCTAAGGCTCCTCCCGACTCAGATATTCTGTATTTTAGAGTCTTTGCAAGCTCTGGTGTGTGAGAGGGCACCAGCCCAAAATGCTAGGAGCTGGGAGAGCTCCCTCTGGGCCCCGGTCCGTGCAGCGGTTTTCTGACAGCTCTGTCCCCAGTCACCCCGATCTGGGAGAGTCCCTCCGTTGCAGATCCAAGGCCTGGAGGAACCCAGAGATCCCTCAGAGCTGCCGGGCCAGACCCCTTGGGACAACCTGGGAATGAACAGCAGAGCCCGGCTGGGGAGCAGTGCTGGGGCAGGGGTCCTTGGTCCTGATCCCTAACTGAGTCTCATATACGTCTGGGCAGACGCGGGCTCCCAAGAGCCGGCAAGGAAAGGGTGTGAGAGAAAGAGAAAGGGCAGGCCAGCC